CCGATCTATATATATATATATATATATTGTAGATAATTTCTAATAATGATTAAAAACAAATAAAATTATAGTTTTTCTGTGGATATTCTGTAAATAATTTATAATACTGATTTAAAACAAATATAATTGTAGTTATTTTGTAGATATTTACCAAAAAGAATAACATAAATGCAATCTGTGTTTGTTGCATCACATTGATGTTATAATGTACTACTTGAGGAAACAGGAAAGTATGGCCCCCACAACAAGATAAGGTTTACTACCACTGATTGTATGTTCAAGACTAGAATTGAACAAATTTATAATAAGTTCATCAATTCTCCTCAAGAAAAGAAGTTTGCTGTTGTCAAACCCCAAGACGTCGTAGCAGAATACATATTGGGGTACAGATTACTCGCAAATGTTGCATGGGATCAAGTTGATTATGTGATCATGCCCGTCAACATTGTAGAAAAATTCCAATGGTTTTTGGTTGTTTTTGACACTGCCGATAGGGTTCTTTATGTGTATGATTCTATGGTCTCTTCACATAATACCCTATTGTTGAATCTGTAGTCACCAAGTTTTCTGTTATGATCCCCATTTACTTGTCATGCACCGATTTTTATGGCAAGCGTTCATACATCAACTTCAAGAACACAAAGACATACATTGAAAAAGTTGTTACCGACCCTATTGACATTCAGTGGATCGTCGGAGAGATTCCACAGCAAAAAGAAGGATCACTGTATGAAAAATCTTATTTCTTTCTATCTATTTAACATTTTTTTTGTTCATTGTTTGCTAAATATTGACACTTTTTTTTATTTTTGCAGCGACTGTGGTGTATATGTTGCTGCCTTTGCAGAGTATGTCAGCATTGGAGACCTAGCAGTTCCTACGGATGACCTTCTGATATTGATCAACATCATAGATGCTATGGAGCGCTACTGTGGGACTACGCTAGGAAGAAGCAAGAGAATTTGGTGCAATTAGTGAAAGTGAGGTGACTGGAAGATTAGCAAGGAAAAAAGGTGTACCAGTTGTGAACAGAAAATACAAGTCTTGAAGAAGAAGAATTAGTTGCAATTTTTTGTATGGAACATGTAGTTACATTGTTTAGTTGCAGCTAGTTTTGTAGAAAGATAGTAGACAAGTTTATGAACAAGATTGTTGAAGTTTAATTGTAGCAGATTTGTGCTACAACTATTTTACCCTTTGTTTTTTTTATTTTATCCAGTATACTAGTTCGAACAATTGGAAAACATTCTGTTGTTTTTATATTCACTTGTTGAAAGTAAACAGTACTTGATCTAATTATTGTTACTGGTTAACTCCTTTTCAACTTAATTATTATGTAGTTACTCTGCCAACTCTAGATTATGTAGTTATTTTGTAGTTTTTTTTGTAGATAAATTGTAGGGATCATTAACAACTATCGATGGGTGCTAGAGATAATAAAATAATTGTGTATTATATATATAGGAATCATTCACAAACCAATCAAGCTATGAAAATATTAACTCAATAAAAAATACTAATTAAACAAAACAATTTCAAACTAACTACATTAAGAGTTGAAGGTGCCTCAACTATTACACATCAAATATAATTCTCCTGAACTCATCAACAATTTTTATGAAAAATTCAGTTTACTGCATAATTTTTTTTTTGGGAGCATTCTTGCAAGATCTTTTGTTATGCCCTTTTACTTCGCATTGCCACATGAAACCTTGTACTTCTTTGAATTAACTTCATCATATGTTTTGTATCTTTGTTTTTGAGGTCTTATTGGCTGTCTTTTCCCACCTGAATGAGGATTTACAACTTCTTCAGTTATATGTTGTGGCACATTCCATTTGCTTTCATCAGGTAGGGGATTTACTGGTATTTCATAAGTATGCAAGAGGCTCTCCCTTGTGTAATAAGGAGAGCAATATTGTTCATAAGACTCATCCCTGTGCCTTAAAGCAGCCAAAGTATGTGGACAAGGAAGTTCATCAAACTGGAATTGCCCACACCTACATCTCTTGTTTTCAAGACAAACAATATAGCGCCTGACACCATCTAGTACTGTATGGATGTAATCTGTTGAAGCCCTCATCTGCAATTACATTACAAACAAAAAACTATTCATATACAATCAGAATACAAAATATCTACAAAATATCTACATTGTCTTTTAATAATTTATTTTGATGCAATAAATGGTCAGATCTTACTCTAAGCTTGTGCGACAATGTTCTGTTGTCATCCAACTCTTTGTTGTATTTAAACCCAAGGTTTGTGAATGTACCCTTTGCTTTCAATAACTTTTCTTTAGTCCAACGTTCAAGAAGAGTCCTCATATACTCTAATAGTTCTACTATCGGTAGCTCTCTTGCATCTTTTGTTACAACATTCAACGACTCTGCAATGTTTGATGTCATAGTCAAAGTTCTGTTGACCGTAGCATGTACTCGAGACCATCTATGATAGCCATTATCGTATAAGTATGCTTTAAAATGCGGGTCAATCTCTTCAATCTTTGACATCCTTTCATTAAATTCATCAAGCGTGTATGATCGTGTCGTGACAAAGTACAATTCGCTTAACTTTAGATGACCTTTCTTGAACTTTGCCCTTATATTTGTCCAAATATGCCACAGGCAAGAATTTATATACAAAGAAACTACAAACTATCTACAATTTTGTTAAATAATATCACAAAAAAACTTGAAGAAGTAAAAATTTACAAATAAACTACAAAATAAAACAAAAATGATTTTTGACCATTCATATATTCCTACCTTCTAGCACTAGATCTTTTCACCCTAAATTGGAACTTGTTCATGACAGAATACTCCTTCTTTACAGTTGCAATTGTTTGCTTGTCTTGGTATACTTGGCCTACTTCAATAACACTTGGTGTACTTCAATAACACTTGGTGTTCTTTCTGTTATTATTATACTTTCATATTCCACTATCGCCGGAGATGTTGGAATATCAATTAACTTCAGTGTTCCAGCCGAACCTGCAATAAAATAAAGCTAAATATTGTTATGAACTTTTTTTTTTTGTAGATATTTTGTAGTTAATTTGTAAAAATATTGAAATTCTGTATTCCATATTGAGCTACAAATGATATGTAATTTTATTGTAGAAATATTGTAGATAGAATGAAATTCAACACTTATATATATATATATATATATATATATATATATATATATATATATATATATATATATATAGACTTTGACATGTAGTTTGTTTGTAAAAATATTGTAGATCAGTAATATACAACCTAAATTCGATAGTAATGTAACAGAATAAACCTGCAACTGTGTTCGAATTGGTGATACTCAATTCCAAATTAAAATCACGCACTGTTATACATAGCAGATATGTTCCTAAGCTTTTGTTTTCCTTTTTCGTCTACATGTATACACGAACACCCATATCTTTCCTAATTTCCATTGGAGGACAATGTTTGTTGACAATGTATTTGATTTCTATTATTTTTTCGGATGTATCTATCATTAGATGCTCTGCTATTGTAGAATTCAATAGGCTATAACTAGCATCCGAAGCCGACTACAATTCCATCGACCTGAAAGTCTCTATATCTCCCATATCCCAATTCCCATTCAGTTGAAGCATAATTGGGATTTTCGACATAATTGCGGTTGTTACAGAAGAATTGTAGCTAATTTAGTCGCTTTTGATTTGTGAAATCAGAAAAACCAGTGAAACAGAGTATTGTCGTAAAAACAGAGTAGTGAATTTTGGAGAGAAACGGGCGAAATTTAATAGCGAGATTTGCGTTTGATAAAATCCGAAATAATCCTTAATATCCCAACATTTGCGCGCCTATTAAAGGAATTGTACCGCTAACAGGATTCTGTTTTTAATGAGTTATTTATATTTTGTAGAAAACCTGTTAGCAGGGCGGGTAATTTACAAATTATGGACATTTTTCGTAATATAGTTTCCTATATGGTATAGGAACGAAAATTTCCCATAAAACTTTGTGTACACATCTCTTTACGCCTGAAATCTCACAGAATTTGCACAACTTCAGTCGAACTGTTTTCTTTTTCTTTTGCATTTATTTCTTTAGACTGATTATCGAAAGAGTAAAAATATGAGGTAAAGTTTTACATATGCAACTCCAGACAGTAAAATTATATCTATGGTAATTGGTCAAAATGAATATTCGAGATGCAACTGAGATGAAGTTGCGAGTTCAAAAGCTGAGGACTTCACCATCTTCATAATTTGGGAAAGTAACACATTTGTAAACTTTGCATTTTGAGCACAATATGTATCCCACCTGCAGTAGCACAAAGAAAAAGTTAATTGGAATTCTTATTAGAACTTAACAACATGTCTGAATCATCAATCAATGTAATTATTGTGTTCCATTATAAGTAACGGAATGCAAGATTGTAGTAGAAACACTTGCAGCTCTACATGATGGACACCGACGGTAAATTTTGTTAGTTTCAGATTTCACATTGGTCTTTTGCCCTTTACAAAAATCACAAAGCAACCATCCAGTGCCACCACAAGGTTCACACAAGATTCCTGACTCAGCCTTCCAAATGAAAACAAGCAGATAAAATAGTTAGAGATTTCTAAACTGGTAAAGCAATAGCATCACATCACAGCAATAAGAAGAAGAAGAAGAAGAAGAAGAAGAAGAATAAAGCAAGAAACTAGGATGCAAGAGCCAAGATGCAACGATTCAGTATCTTGAAACAAAGACACAACAGTCAGCTATCACAGCAGATAACATTAACAGAAAATGAGCATAAGATCATAGAGGACTTAAAAGGTATCTCCACTTAGAAATGAGGTGGTTAAGCTGATGCACATCCAAATATCTATAAACAAAGGTCATGGTGTAGTGGGAAGGAAAATGCTCAAGAACACGAAATCAGAAATTATAGACTATACTAAACCACTCATGAGAACTAAGACATGATAAGTTGATCTCACCATATTAGTCGAGACACAAGCAAAACTCATGATAATATATATGGTTCAAATAGAAAGCATATTACTTTACTAGGAAGAAGAACTAAAGGGGAAGCATATATCGTATTTTTATTGAAGTCTTATTGAGAAGTGAGAACACGGATTTTCTCATCTAAGTACGGATTCCGAGAGCTCTGAGAAAATGACTGTAAGATCATAGCAGACTTAAAAGTATCTCTACTTAGAAATGGTTAAGCTGTTGGAGATCTAAATATCTATAAGGACGGATCATCATTTAATGGAAAGAGAAATACTCAAGAAGACAAACTAAGGAGATTAATGACTTTCAGGAATTTTAGAAAACTATAGTGAACCACTGAGAACTAAGATATGACAAGTTGATCTGACCATGTCAGCAACACTAATGTTAAATGGTTCAAATAGAACATATTACATTATCTGATCAAGATATGGAAAAGGGATAAATGGGGAGTGGAGTATTTTCGGTAAAGTCCATCTACACAGGTTATCAAGACTCATCTCATCTCAGTGCGGAATACCAGAGCTCCAAGAAAGGCATGTTCTTTTCACCTAGTTGGCATAAGAGGAACCATCCTCACATTTGAAATTTTAGGAAAGAAGATACCCTATCTTAGCTGGTCTTACATTACAATTATTCGGGTGAAGATGTGGACGACTTATTAGTGCATTGCCAGGTTGCAATACATTTAAAGAAGTGATGTTTAAACCATAAAAATGTTGCCACTTTGGCTCCTGTGTGGATATTTTAGAAGGAAAAGAAGATGATAACTTTTGATGGAGCAGGAAATGATTTTGTAGGGACTAGGGATGGAGGCCCGTGTTTTGTTCTTAGCAACTTTTGAGCAACCACGAGCTTTCTGATTGTGTGTTATTTGTAGAGAATCGTAATTTTGTGTGGTTTCTCTATTTCTTTATAACTACTTGTATACCAAGATTTTTCCAAGGTCTCATTAAGGTTTTACTTTGTCAAAGATGACCCAACGGAAGCCTGCTTCCTGACTAGACCAAGCTGTGTTCTCCATAATCATAATGAGCCACAGAATTTTAGAGGACCTTATTAGGTATCCATCCATTTCTGTCCACACCAACATTAATAGTCCAGTACATCAGGGTAAAGTATATGTGCAGTAAAAGGATATCTGAATCGAAATCCCATGTGGGAATACACAGATTTCCCTCATTTGTTTCTGTTTCTACATCTTAACACTACGACTTAGAAATAAATTGTAGCCTCAGGAAGATTTGGCACAATAAATTTGTGAGAAATATCCAACTTAAACCATAGCTAGGGAAAAGTGAAAACGTGATCCAGTAAGAAATGACATATTAAAATTACTGATTCACCAATTATTTTGTAAATGAGGCGACGCTAGCAATGTGCAAGGAGAGCTATAGCTTGGTTATTGCTGGTAAGATATTACTGCTAGAAGATTTCATCTAAAGTTGCATTCTTTTCATCTCATTGGCAACTGTGTTGTGGAATATGAATCAACTAAAAGAAAACAAAATAACTGATATTGCTGATAGCCGCTTTGACCACTAAAAGATATGGTGTGGTTAAAGTTGTAGCAGTTACACTGACAAAGTAAGAGAGAAAGGAGGTTTGGCATTACGTTGTAGGCGAGAGCTGCAGGCACATCGAGAAGGATGGAAGAAGGAAATATCAAGAATTTCTACAACATGGTCCTAGGAAATCCAATAAATGAAAATGGAAATGACTAGAGAGATGTAAAGAGTACAAATTAAGTTGGATCAGACATCACTTCCCTGGTTTAGATATGTTAAATCTATGTGTTAGAGTATTAGAATATTAGAACAGTTAAGTTCTTAAATTAAGTTGAATGTTGTTCCATCATCTTCATTATCAATAAGAATTTCCACGTGGACTGACACATTTCCAAAATTAACCTACAGCTTTAATCTTCAAATATTGAACTTCAGATGCGGGAGGGGGGCAGAGCTAGGTAGAGTATGGGGGTTCAATTCGATCTCCTTTGTCAAAAAATTATACTGTACAAATAGAGCAAAAATGAGTTTTGAGTTACATACGAACTATCAATATTATCAGATCCGAATATCAACGATAGAATTTTGTAATTGAGCGAAAAAGCAAAAAGATCTAACTCAAATAGTAAAAAACAATTTCTTTGCTCATATGATGCAGAACCTCAGAAAAGTTAAACACATCATCGCTTGCAGCAAATATGAAAATCAATCACAAATCACAGAATAATGATCTTAACAAACTAGAACAGACGGCAACTACACATAGGCATTAATTTACCTCATTAGTAAAATAAAGAATATTTATAGAGAATGCTTAATACCTGCTGCTGTACCGGAAGACAACGCATAGGTTTCAAGAAACCACGAAAGGACTCAATAGGCACATTCTTTACAACAATTGGGAAGTTTAACTTCACATTGCTGTTAGCAGCCATGAACAAGGAAACAGCCATTGTAGCCATAGACTTCACTCCCGCCTAATAACTAACCATAACCACACATTCCCAACCCAAACACCTTTGAAACAAAAAGTGCAATATTTTAACCCCAAAATATTGATAATATTACATGATTGTCACTTCTTAGAGGTTTTAACTCAACTGGTCCCTTAAGTTTCGGGGTAAGCCCATTCTTATCCCAATTCTATTACTCTGACCAGATGTATTCTTTTATTTTGCAAATATTGAGCATTTTAATTCCACCTGATGGAATTCCAAAATATATTACTACTATTTAAACTAACCGAAATGGCATATGCCTTTCATGTGACCAAGCTAAATAACAATCACGATAAACTTGTCTTTTTTCCCCAACTTGATTAGATACGTATTCCTTTTATTGTGATACATAAGAAATCGACACGAGGAGATTAAGGTTGCCATAAGTAGGTGGAGTTTTTGCCTGTTCGCTACTAGAAATCTGGGAATTACCGACCAAAAATTTGCTTGGTCGGTCAAAAAAAGCGACCAAAGTTGGTCGCTAATGTGGAAAAAAGTATTAAATAATTATTTTAAATAATTTACCGACCAAGGTTGGTCGCTTTTTGGTCGATAAAGTGGTCAACATGTTGACCGGGCTGGTCAGACTTGCTTGGTCAAAGAAATATTGAGCGACCAACTTTGGTCGCTAATGTGGGACCCAGTTATAAAGTTGTAGTAATTATATTATAGTTTAAAATATTTTATAAAATATAAATAAATATTATTTAAAGTTGGCGATCAAAGTTGGTCGGTTATGAAAGGGGAAGCAAGTTGCGACCAACTTTGGTCGCTAATTTAGGACCCAGTTATAATGTTTAATAATTATATCATTATTTAAAATATAAATAAATCTTATTCAAAATTAGCGACCAACTTTGGTCGCTTAGTTTAATTTTTGGATAATTAGCGACCAGTGTTGGTCTCTTTTCAGGTCAACATTGGTCAAAATTAAAAATCACTTTTATATTTACTATAAATTAAAATTAAAAATCTTATTCAAAAGGGATGAATACACTAAAATATACTCTAACATGCTATATATGTAGTTAAAGTAGTACAACGAAGCATGATATATATATATATA